GGCAAACATAGCAAGTCTCTCTAGGACCCTGTCATCGAACAGTTCTATCGAGCTAAAGTTGTCGAAAGATCATCTTCTCTCCCTTAGGGATAGGATTACCCTCATCAAAGCCACTCTGTTTAAAATCCCAATCTATTTCATATCTCTATTTCTCATGCCTACCTTGGTCGTTGATACACTTCACCACCTCATGAAATCTTGGTTGTGATTGAGTGATATTTCCAAGTGCCAAATCCATCTTGCCAACTGGGAAAGAGTGTTTCAACCCAAATCTAAGGCCCTTCATATCCCGATCTTAAAAAGATGAATCTCGCTTTGCTAGGTAAATGGTTGTGGCATTTTGCCACCCACCAACTCCTGTGGAGACAAAGCTCTCCACAAGTACGGGGGCTGACCACCTCGAGTGGTTCCCCTTGAGAAGATCAAATCAACACAGATCAGGAAGCTACAGAAGTATCTACGCATGTCATCAGCAGTTCATGGCTTCCATTAGGTTCAAAGTGAACTGAGACATTGTTCCTTTCTAGTCTCATTCCTGGATAGGTCTCTAGCCGCTCAAACTCATGTGGCCTAACTTATTACTAGTAGCAAACCTATACAATCAGAGTCGCCCAATGCTTAGAACCTCACAGAACCCTCTTGGGTGGAACCCACCTTCAGAAGTCCGATCTCAAACTCCAAAACCGATGACCCTCCACATCCTCCCGCTATCTTTTTCTCTTTCTAACTCTGGACCTAATTAAATTATCTCAATTCATTCCTCTTCAGGGAACTGTAGGGCCTCCTCTTTCTACCCATCCCTCTCTATGTTGCAACATGGTGCCTCCCTCACAAGCAATGTCTAAATCTCTCCTATCCCACCCAAAGTCCAGGCCTTCAGTTGGCTGGTCATTATTACCTGTTATCTTACTGTAAAGAGGTTTTCCTCTCGCACACCATTGCTGCTTGTGCTCTGAAGCAGAAGAGACCCACTATCACCTCTTCCTTCACTGTAGGATGGCTACTTTTCTTTGGGACTGACCCTAAAAGACACTAATTGGTAGCGGGCGACCCGAAAATCGATTGATCAGCTTTTCACTCCTTCTCCCCAGCATACCCCAAGATAGAGATCTTTCTATAGAGGAGCATCAGTCATGGCAATTCATTGTACCATTTAAGGGGAGAGAAACTAGAGAATATTAAGAGGAAAATTACGTCTGAGTGTGGCCATTGCGAAGGCCGCTCATAACCTCACAATGGTTTGGGCATTAAACTACAAACCTCTTAAACATCTTGCCAAATCAGTTTCCCTTTCACATTGGTCAAACATTATCAAGTTTAAATCCCCCAAGCCCACTCGCTCTTCCAGGTGGAGCCCACCCATCAAGGAGTCCATTAAATTAAAATTTTGATTGTTGCCCACTTGGAGACCTAGGACACTGTGGTTTTCGGGGAATCTTCGTTGACTGTGATGCTAATACCCTTATCTCTTGTAACAATCCTAAAACTTCAAAAAAAAAAAAAGAAAAAAAAGGAGAAAATATG